TTCCCTAGCTACATTTTGTTAATATTATTTTATCTGAAGAAAGAAAAAAATATAATAACATGAAATGTCATGGATTACTGATTAATCCACTATTTTGTAGAGAGGGGGTCAGAATAACAATTTTCACTAAATATTTATTTATTTCACTAAATTCGTCTAAATATAGTGTTAAGAATAAGAAAAACATGGCTATTTAGATGGTGCAATACCCTTTTCTCACTTTTGTATTTCAGAAATGTGCACATCTCTGGAAGGAAGTTAATGTGCCTCAACTTGGCCATTCCGGTGTATTTTTGCTATTAAAATATTGTTAAAATTGGTATGTTTAATGCAGTTGTTTTGATAAAAGGGAAGAAGATACAATCCTGGTTTCAACATTATTTATTAGTTAGACATTCCTCTTTAAATACAATAAGTATCATTTGTTTGAAAATTCATCCATATTTGGTTTATGACAATTAAAAATGGGTAAAGTTAAACAATTTGCCCATGGACCTGCTTTGAAAGCACTATATCTATTGGAATTAACCATATAGGGCCTTTTAAAATGAACTTACTGTGCCAAAAGAAAAAAAGTTTAAGAACCAGAATCTAAAAGGATATTGAGATATATTTAATACTTTTTTGAGTTACAGGTAATATGCACACTTTGAAGAAGAATGCATCATTCGGTTTGACAGCAAACTTGTCAATACCCCAGACGAAATGCACAGCACCACTCTGTGGCATGGCTTGTCAGCTTCCATCAATCCCATTAACGTTTAGCTTGTGGTCACTGAACAAATAACGTCTGTTTTCCATTAATAAGAGAGACAGTGTTCCAATCCTCTAGTTTCTGCTATTCTTGACAGTCAATGACTATTTTTTTTTCTCCAGATGTTTTTATCCAACAAGACCCTGATGAAAGTCATATGCAAGTGCTCCACATAGTTTGTAGTGTTGATGTAGTCATAATTAAAGTTCCTTTCAAAAATTTTGGGAGAGGCGTGATGTGAGTTTTTACTAGAACCCATCTTAAAGTAATTTTACATGTAACACGCTCATATCTATGTACAGTACTAAATAATTACAAACAATATGTAGGCCTATGTTCACTCCAAAGTTGCGAATTTAACTTTAAATTGTATAAAACATTTGCGAATAAAGCACCGTTTCCATCCCTTGTTCAAGATTAAAAAAAAAAAAAATCGTTACTTCCTGGGAAATTGGAGCAAAATATCTGAGATAAAATGGCGGAAGCTCTTTTATCGTACATTATAAATGACTTGCACCTCAAAGCGCGCAGATGAAAAGCAATCTGTCATGTTATCTTGCATTTGGAAGCGGATGCCTGGTGTTTGGGAACAAAATCATGTGAGAATTCTGGGAGGTTATCATACCTAACCATTTTGATGGCATTTTAGAATGACCAAACCAACATTTGAGATGCTGTGCAATGAAATTTGCCCCATTGGTTAATCCAGTTATCCAATCACGTCTTTTAATTTTTTTAAATCGGGAGATTTATTCGGTAAATTTGTTTCCATCACAGATATTGTCTTATCGAATAAAAAAAATATATCTGCCTCAATTGAGCACATAAAGACTGTTTGTATTACAATGTATAGAAAAAACAATTCAACAATAGGGAAACTAGATAACTTTTCATGATGCTTTGAAACAAGTGCATTGCCTTAAAGAGGCTATATGCGTTTTTCTGAAATTTAAACTCGCGACTGACACCTGTGGCCAAAAAACAGAACTGCTCTTCCTTTCTGCTCGCTCTCGCAGCGCTCGTACGTGCACACTTCACAAGTCATCTGCTGCAAGGAGGTCAACATTATGTTTACAGAGGTAAGAACAGTCAAAAAATCGCAAAATCCATTGCACTGCTTGCGAGTGTAGGCTACTTGCTGACTAGCGGTGGTGGCAGAGTGGTCTGAAACGTTTAACATGAACGCGCCTGACGTCACATCCGCAGACAGCGAGGGGAAATCCGACCCGACAGAAAATAGGAAAAATAGAATACAGGCTTATAGGTGCACCCAATGTGAGCGGACAAGGTGTCAGTATGCTCATCAGGAGATGTTTGAGTCATAAATGGTCTAATGAAAAGGCTATTGTTACGTTTATTTTTGGGAAAAAGTTACATATAGCCTCTTTAAGTTGTGAAATGTTATGTAGACCACCTTAAAAAAGTTGTATGCATAAAAATAAGTTGTTAATGTCTAACATTTTTGTTTGATAAGCACATTTTTACATACAGTTATAACTGTATGATATAACTTATTGCCTTCTAAACCCTTACCTGCAATATTATAGCCAACTAAATCAATTTGTGAGTAGTAATCTAGCAGGTGTCAGAGAAAAGTTATCAGTGCAATGTGATGCTTTGCCGACTAATGGGCTTTACAAACTTTGAAATAGTGCAGCCTAAATGCTAATTAAGATAGATTTGTCTTGTTAGACAACAGAAAGCAATATTGCATGTATTCAAGCTGTTATAACAGGCAAACAAAAGTTTTAATCAATATGTTTGCCAAGAACCCAGAGGCGCAATCATTATCATGAATGCATTTCTTATTTCTTCTGCTTTATCTGCTTGCTTCATTTTGCATCAAAGTACCTTACCAGGCTGGCCTTTTTTTTTTTTTAAGTTCTTAGTGACTAAGGACCCACTAGAGTTGCTAAGATTTAAAGTTCCAATGTTTGAAGAGGATTCTTTGAATGGAAATGTCTCCTTAAAATTATTTGTTATTCAAAGATGATACATTTTTGAGAGTACGTACATCTATGGTACATTTTAGGCTTTACCCTACTAGGCCGGCAGCCATATCACCCTGTAGCCCAAGACTGGTTGCCCACTGAAGCTAAACATGGTTAAGCCTGGTTAGTACCTGGATGGGAGACCTCCTGGGAAAACTAGGTTACTGCTGGTTATGAGGCCAGCAGGGGGCGATCTCCCTGTGGACTGTGTGGGTCCTTACGCCCCAGTAAAGTGACGGGGACACTGTACTGTCAAAGAGCACCTTCCTTCGGATGAGACGTCAAACCGAGGTCCTGACTCTCTGTGGTCATAAAAAATCCCAAGAGTAAGGGTGTAACCCCGGCATCCTGGCCAAATTTGCCCATTGGCCTCTGTCCATCATGGCTTCCTAATCATTACATAGGCTGCGTTCCAGTCCAAAATTGTCTTGCCCTTCACTCGCTAACTTCCCTCCGTCTCGTTCACTCGGATGTACGTCATTGCTTACGTTGCATGAGTGCCCACTACTGGCGGAAACTGCAATGGGCTGAACTGGAACGTCCTAAGCCCTTGATCACTTGGAATCAGCTATGGAGTTGATTTATTATTTAATTTAGTTTCCCTTTAAGAATTTGTTTAAGGCAGCATCCAAATGTATGTGTTTGGGTTGTTTTAAATTTAAAAAATCATAATTAATAGAGTTGTTTGTGGTGGTGGTCTCTGGTGATTAGACGAGATCTGCGGTGACGTCACAATCGTGTTGCATTGTGGTATATGGAGCTGCCTGAAGTGTACATATGAAGTAGACTCGCTCCCTCGGTCAAAATCGAGGGAACGAGGGTCTGTCCATATAAACTTCCCTCGTCCACTTCACGAAGTGTAACGCACTTCAAAATGGCGGCAGGGATTCCCCCGAGGGGAAGTGCTTAGGGAAGTTCGCAAGTGCGTGTCTAAAAGTGGACTGGAACGCAGCCCATACTCATTGGCTTCATCACTCTGTCTCCTCTCCACCAATAAGCTGGTGTGTGATGGGCGTTCTGGTGCAATATGGCTGCCGTCGCATCATCCAGGTGGATGCTGCACATTGGTGGTGGTTGAGGAGATTCCCACTTCCATATGTAAACCGCTTTGAGTACCTAGAAAAGCGCTATATAAATGTAACGAATTATTATTATTATTACTAGCCGTCTAAGGTGACATTTACATGATAACGATGTACTAAAAAAGAAAAGCCATGCCAGGCCAGTAGTTGGCGACATCACTTTGTAAAGAAACACTACACACCTGTCCTATAGATTGAAGAAGTCCTATAGACAAGAAACAGCATAGCAACATGTTTATAATAACAACCACTCAGAACATCTTAGAAACCACATAGAAACACCCTGGCAACCACTCACAACATCCTAGTGTTGTGGCAGCAAGTTTTAAAGAATGGGCACCCAAACAGAAAATGTCTATAGTTACCATTATAGTTTTTTTCTTGTTTGTTTGTTTGTTTGTTTGTAATATAACTGTTTTTAAAAATAAGTTTCTTATGCTCACCAATGCTGCATTTATTTGACTAAATTCGTAAAAACTGTAATATTGTAAAAAAAAAAGTATTACTATTATTACTTTTTTTTATATATAGATTAATATATTTTTAAAAATGTATTTGATTCCTGTGACGGCAAAGCTGAATTTTCAGTCTCACATGATCCTTCAGAAATCATTCTAGTGTATACTGATTTGCTGCTCAAGAAACATTCTTATTACTATCATCAATGTTGAAAAAACTTTTGCTGATGTATTTATTAATTTTTGTAACGCCTTACAGACCACAAACTTTTGAACACCGCTCTCTAGCAATTAAAAGCAGATCCATCTGTGGTTTCTCCTCTTTAATATCATTTTCTGTAAATACAGCAATTTGTGACAATTCAGCTATAACATGTCAAATGGAATGTAATTGCAATGATGCTTTCTCTGAATTCAGAAAATGGACACGTTTATGACCCTCTTTATTCGAAAAACATAACCTGTCTAAATATACACCTTGGCGCTTTCATCTGCCGTTCTCTTTATTTTTAATGCTCTTTCTTTTCCTGTGCCCATCTCCGTGCCCTCGTTGTCTAATTAAAGAGGTGGTTGCTAAGAGATGGTGCTTGGCGGCACTCTAAGAGGATGTGATGTGGTGTAACTCAAAAGCTTTGTTCTCTCTCTCTGCTCTTCTCTTCTGTCAAGGGCTGACCCATGTGAGGAAGGAGAGTTTGCGCACACACAAAGACACACACACACACACACACACATGGACACCATGGCATCTTTCTCCACCTTCAACACCTGTGGCTCCAAGGTGGATCGGGCGTCCCATCGTAGGGGAGAATACAGGAAGGGGACGCCCAGTGACAGCGACTGCAGTGCTGTGCTTGAGAAGACCAAAGAGTTCTTCCAGATTTGTGACATAGAGAGCAAAGGCTTCATTACACGACGGGATATGCAGGTAAGATTGTTGGGAAGGGAAAAAACAAGGCGTCCATGTGATTTGTGCTTAGGGAGTTTAATAGGTAAAGAAGAATGAAAACCCCCAAAATGTATCATCTGGTTTTCCTGGCATTCTTTCAGCTGCGAACCATGAGCTAATTGAGAAAATTTGTGTTAGTTCACCCATTAAATTGTTTACTTGCAACAGAACATAAACGGCGATCTGAATAAAGTAATTCACTTAAATAAAAATAAATAAAAAACGAATTAATGACACAGATTGTTAAATATGTAATTGGCAATTTGGTCTTGAAAAAGTACAAATTAAATACAACATGCTTCTGTACTGAAACTTTTTTTTTTTTTTTTTACCTAAAAAAAAAAAAAAAAAAAAAACGAAAAATATATTTTTAAGGGTTCCCACAGTCTTGGAAAACCTGGATATATCAAGATTTTTTTAATTGTAATTTACAGGCCTAAACAAAGCACTGAAGCTCTATCTATCTATCTATCTATCTATCTATCTATCTATCTATCTATCTATCTATCTATCTATCTATCTATCTATCTATCTATCTATCTATCTATCTATCTATCTATCTATCTATCTATCTATCTATCTATCTATCTATCTATCTATCTATCTATCTATCTATCTATCTAAAATTATTTCATCAGCCAAAAATTCCTCTTTGTGAGTGAATTTTATCTCCATTCATCCTACCTATCTATTCTATCTATCTTTTACATGTTTATTTTAAGGTCTAAAATATTTCAGCTATCCTATATAGGGTGGATTATCAGCTTCTTCTTGCGGATGTCAGAATCGAAGGAGCATGTGAGACCGTCCTGGAATTGGGGTGGGCGTTTTGAGACCAGCCCTTCAGTTGTATTATTGTGCAGATTCGATCACCTCTTCCATTGATTGTACAGGCTTCCTTTGAAGTCCTGCCCTGAAGAGCCTCTTTCAAAAGCATTACAGCTTTGATCCAGTGTCTGTGGAACATGCATTAATAAACATTGGTTCCTCATCTTTATTTAAATTATGGCTCTTATTTCAACCAGTTTGGAAATGGATTCCACGGTTTTAAATCTTTCTATTAAATCTTTGTGAACATGCTATGAAAACTGTGACAAAACATTTACGTCTTTGACAAAGTAACTTGCATCATAGCAGGTCTACCACATGTTGGTCTGGCAGAAAACGCTGACAACACTATTGGTGTTTCAAAGAGCAGCTTTTTTTCTAAACCTTCAGGCTGTTAAAAAAAAACCCATCAGGAGGTTTATTACTGTTGTTAGAAGCTGTCACTTTGGTTTGCGGAGGAAAAGGGTGATGGCTCACAGTTTGTGCGCATCTTTACGCAAATGTTTTCACACGTCTGTCAGCATTTACAACTGACTTTTACAAGTACAGGAAAAAGCCAAAAGTTTTATGGGACAGCTTATACTAGAGCATATCTGAGCAAACATTTGTCAGGTTCCCACACAAGGGTGTGTTCTTTGCTTCCTAAGAATAGTAACGTTCTTGCTGTGTGTTTACTGGGTTTATCACTGAAAGATACAGCGTGTGATATTAAAGGTGTCAAACGTCAGCCTTGTTTAAAACTTTTGTCACGACACAAATAACCTAGTAAAGAACTGGGGAATATGTGGTTTGGTTTGTTTTTATAGTGAAATTCAGTTCATGCTTCATAAAAAAAAGTTTTTAATTTACTTTGTAAGACCAATTAAATTGATTATATTTGATTGGGTCTAAACTTATGCATAAAAATGTTTTAAAAAGATCTGTTCATTTATACTCTTAATCTGCTCAGTTTTAGGTGACCCAAAATGCATTGTGCTTCTCCTTACGTCTGTATCATTTGTCATGTTGTTGTAGAGGTTAAATGGAGAGCTTCCTATGAGTGCTGAGGAACTTGAGAATGTCTTTGACACTTTGGACACGGATGCCAACGGATATTTGACCTTTGAGGAGTTCTCTTCTGGCTTTAGTACGTTTGCATTGCATTGGCGGTTTAGATTTGAATCCATACAGCAGTCATTTAAAAAGCACACACAATTTTTTCCTTGATTTATAGCCTACTATATGTTGAATTTTGGGTTGTCTATATCATTTACTTGCTATTGTGTTTGTCTATTCAGGTGAGTTCATGTTTGGCCCTGGTGTGGCGCCAGTAGAGCCGCATGCAGGTGAGGAGCCGGTCTCAAGAAAGACTCCGGAAGTGCTCTACGAGAGCCAATGGGAGGAGAGAATCAGCAGGGCAGAGGATGATGAGGAGAAACACTTCTGCATGCTAATGGAGAACCTGGGGGCGAGCAACATCTTTGAAGAGTGAGTGTCATTTCAGTCAGCCACACTTACTGGAAAATCTACCGCCGTTTGAAATGGATCCTATATTTGATTATCTTTTTTAGGTTGTTATATATTTTAGTTATGGTTTAAACATCAGTGGACGTTTTCTTGCATGGAACTACACTAGCTAAGATACTGCTTTCATGTTTCAAACGCATTAGTTGTGTATTTCTAATAACTACAGTTATTGTAATTCTAAATGTCGTCATATAATTTAAATAGTGTATTTACACTAAATTAACAAGCCATAGGAAGTTAACATATAGATATAAATTCCCCCAAAACAGTCAATAGTAAGAGATTACACACGTTGACCCCCTTCTCCTGGGAATATTTTAATATTTTATATCAAATATCAAACTTAAAGAGCTTATATATTTTTTTTATTGTTGTAAAAATAATACATTGTTGTGTAGAAATGTCTTTATTTTGTAGTTTTTCCTTTTGATATTATGATTATTTAAAATTTTACTTTGAGTTTGTCATAAAATTAACCTTTGTTGCTGATTTGACGTTAAATAAATAAATAAGAGACGGCACATTCCCAAACGAACGCACCTTTGATAAGACCAAGGGATTTTAAAACAGGTCAATTATTGTCTTCTCATTCACCATATGGTGAGTTGAGCCCGTTTTTGTAACGCATGACCGGATGCACTTTCAGCAAACTACCGCCACTCCTAAAAGGCAAACGGTGATGGTGGAAGACATCAATTATAAAAGTTCATCCTTCTGACTGACTGTAATCTTTGTGTACGGTTATTGCTTTTTCAAAGGGGAGCTGACAGTTTGGATTAGATTCTGATATGCATTTCTAGTCTCAGCCTCAGACTTCACGGCCACCGACCGTTTGCTTGAACGTCTGATGCATTATGGCACACAACACTTCAGGAGTTTTAGAGTCGTCATCTGAATGGTTGAACTCTCCAGGATTAACGGTAGACGTGTGTCGCGTTCTTTAACGGGCCGTCTGGAAACAAAGCCGTCATAATGCCAAACCCCCTTATGGAAGAAGAAAGCCGTCATGTTTACGACTGTGACAATAAGCACTTATCAGGATCAACTAAACATTAGATTTTCAAAAGTAAGTGAAGTTACCAGAACCATAGTTGCAGTCTGTTATTGTGGGGACATCGACTTTTCCCCACAATAATAATAGACATTTTCAGTTTCACGCCCCTAAACATGACGTGGAACAAAATTAACTGTGATTGGTTGTAGGGCTGGGCGATATGGAGCAAAAAATATATCGCAATATATTTTGCTATATCTCGATATACGATATATATCTCGATATCTTTACAAGAAAAATAACCCAACAAAAACTACTGCAAAAACATATATGCCAAATAGATTTTTTTTATTGGAGTGCAAAGAGGTAGGCAGTTCATGTAGTCCAAAGTGCTTCTGCGACATTTAAAAAAAAAAAAATCCCTGTATAGAAAAATAATAATTCAACGACGGCTATGGCCAGGGTTGCCACCACTGATCTATATAATGACATTCTATATAGATCAGTGGTTGCCACCTGTCCCGTTTTACCGGGATTGTCATTCTTTTTAATAACCTGTCCCGGGAAATTTATCCACTCTCCCGGTTTTCGAAAGGCTGTGTGAATATGTATGTTCAAACCGTGTAGCGTGCGCACGGCAGAGAGGGAGAGAGCTCCGTGTAGCGCGCACACGGCAGAGAGGGACAGAGAGCGAGAGACCTTGCGTGTGTTTGCTAGTGTGCGTGTTTGCCTCAAGAAGTGCATGTAAGACAGCATTTAAGACGATTTTTTTAGACGAGTTCTGTAGCCTCCGGGCTAGTTGCGGGCGCCGCCATGTTGAATGAGACAACACTCGAGGGGAGGGGGGGAAAAGCAAGGAGCCGGGGGCGAGCACAGCGCAGAGAAGGCAAAGTGGCGAAATCAGAATTAAATATAAACAATATATCGATATATACGATATGTCAAAATCCATATCGTGTTTAAAAAATATCTCGATATATTTTAAATATCGAGATATCGCCCACCCCTAATTGGCTGCTTTACATGTTGGTTAGACGGAGGGGAAATTCCTCTCGGATGTGAGCATCCCTATGCCCTCCTCACTTCGAAGGGCAGAACATGACCATAAATAATTAAATTACTTCCTTGAAGTGACCATCGCATGTTCCCTTTGCTAACAGACCTGTGGAAGTGCCCTTCGTGAAGGGGTTTAGTTGTTCACTTTCATTTAGAACGCTCCTACAAATGGCACCCCCTTCCCGAAGTACCCTTCAAGGGTGCAAAAATGGCATTTGGAATTCACCCAGAATTTTGGGCGGTCCTTGGCCAATAAAAGCTGCTATGGAGTTCAGACATTCTGCTGTCAGTCTGAAGGTCTGGCTAAGCGAGACTAATGCATCTCATATATCAGCGTAAATATACGGAGCCCCTAAAGGGACATGGTGGAAAAAAATATGAGATGGGAGGAAAAATAATAAGTGAAGTCAATGCTTTTGAGGTCCCCAGAGAAACTTTGCGTTTGCTCGCAAAACATTTGCGTTCCCCCGAGAAACTTTGCGTTCGCTCGTAAAACGTTTTGCGTTTGCTTGCAAAACCTTCTGATCTCTTTGTGAGCAAACGCAATGTTTCTCGGCGGATGTGGAGTGTGGCGCAAGATACTACAATAGATGAAAGTTACTTCGTGTAAAGATAAAACATACAGCAAACTTTAAAAACTGAGTTGTGTTTTTTTTTTTTTTTACAAACAATAATTTGGTAAGATATATGATGCAGTAAGTGTGTTGTAATGTCTCAGTCCAGGAGAGGTGCGGAGTCTTTGGGCCCAGCTCAGAAGAGACGAGCCTCACCTCCTGTCCAATTTTGAGGAATTCCTTTCCAGGGTCACTTATCAGATCAAAGAGGCCAACCAGGAGAGGACAGAAATGGAGACTGCCCTTAAAAGGTCAGATATCACTTTAGCACTTTTGTTCCTTTTAGAATGTTAACACATCAAGCATTTTAAAAAGGATGTTATATTTGTAGTCATATACAACAAGACATTACTACCATAATTGAAAATTTTCTTAGGGTGTGTTCACACTTGTAGTTCGGTTCTCTTGGTTCTTTTGGTCTGGACCAAAAAAAGAAAATGATACATTTAGTCATGGTTCGCTTAACGTTTACACGGTCATATTTAACCCAAAAAACTCCCACTGCTTTTATGATGAATACTTTGTGACTGAACTTGTCGAACATCCAAAACAATGCTGTGTGCTGGGCTAAATGCGTTCGCTGTATGTACGCACATATGATGGAGCTGACAACTCATAAAGAGCTTATAAAAGGTGTAAAGGAGTCAAAACAGGAATTCCTCCGTTGCAAACAAAGTAAGATCTGCTGCGAGGAGATGCGGTTCTGATGCCTGTACCAAACTGTGATGGGCAACATTGTGACTATGACGAGAAAAAACAGGTGTGCTTGAGCATTCTGTCCTTTTTAGGGTCGCATCTTGTGACATCATTTACATCTCTTCGGTCCGTGTTGCGTTCATATTTCCGTCGAACCGCACCAGAGTTTGTTTAAAAGCAGACCGAGACCCATCTTTTCCACGTTCTCGGTCCACTTGTTTGGTGCACACCAGAGTTCGGATGGCAGCGAGACTGCTGGCTTAATAGCAATGTCTGCTGTAGCTTTTAAAGGCATATTTTTGAAATATGTCAGTCTGACCTGGCAGTTATCACATACGCATGGCATTTATTGTAAATGAAAGATGATATCATGCTGCTTTTTTTCCTAGAAGATTTCTCTATCTGCCTTTGTTTCTAACTTTAATATTCTCTCCCAGCGAACCGAGAGAATAAAAACATAGGAACGAGTTAAAAATAGAGAAATCTTTCTCATTCCATGAATGCATTGAATAGTGTTTAATACTTTGATGTGACCAAATGACTTAAAAGCTTTTTGATTGATCCTGACATCTTTAATAGGAAAGCGGTGACACATGATGATGAAATCCAGAGGCTGTATGAAGAAATGGAGCAACAGATCAAGAATGAGAAAGACAGGATACTCTTAGAGGTAAAGCTTTTATTACAATTGGCCATTTGAAATAATCCTAAACCCTGAGTATACAATATATTAACATTAACCTAAAATTGTGCACTTTAAGGAAAGCATAAAGGAGGACTATAAAATGAAGAGAATAAATCTCATAGAACTGCATTGAAGGAGGGATCTGAGGCATATGTAGAGACCAGAATATCATAGAGAATTAGGAGAGGCTTCTTTTTACTTTGACCAATAAAGAACTATATGGTCTTTAGAGATTAAAACAGCTCTTGATGTTGCATTATATGTTCCTTTGATCAGATATTTGGTTCCTGGGCTCTTGTAATTCTATTTGCATTTTCTTTAAATTAAGTTATGATTCTACAGTAGGAATAAATACTGTTTTTTGGTTGAAACTATAGTAAATATTCATGTGATCTTTGTTCTCCAGGATTCCGAGCGGTTCTTGTCTCGCAGTCAGGACTTGGAGCATCAACTTTCCTCTAAGGAGAAAGACCTGGAAATTCTTTCTAATAAACAGAAACGGGTTGGTCACAACTAATACCTTTGCTTGTTTACGTAATCACCAAACCAGTTTAACTAGTTACATTTATCAGGTAATTGCTCATACATTCACTGTTTGAATAATACATTGTAGTTAAATAAAATGACAACCAACTGCAGTTGGAAAAAGAAAATTATATTTGATTAGGAATTACACAGAGAGTGAGATCTTTTCCAGAAAGAGTTTTAATTTTGAAGTAACTTTTACTCAAGGACAAATTAACATCTAAACATTTGACATATTTTTCTCAGATTGTTTAACACAATCAGCAGGTGTTGTAGATCATTTGCTGGAAATTTATGTTCAAATTTTAGAAAGCCATGTCTGACGCACACAAAAATAAATGCAGATCTATACACACAATAAACAAAACCCAGCAAAGCCTTTCAATGCTAATGAATGAATAGAAAGTAACAAGTCTTAATGCTTCCTTTGCTTCTCTCATTACAAGCTTCATTTTCTTCTCGTCTGTGAACAACTAAACCAAAACCAAATTACTTTCTTTATTGCTGCAATGCAACTTTGAGCAAAAGTGATTAAACTTACTATCAGTCTGTGCTAATGTGTTTGACTTTTATGTAAAGATCGAGCTAAAGTTTGGTACTGCATGTTTGACTAAAGACATGGTATTTTTTCATTTTTGTGTCTATATTTAGCTGCATAGCTGTGTGTAAAAGCATGAGTGCAAGAGCTTCCTTATCAATTCATTCCTCCCACAATGTCCCAGCCAAACATTCACAATAACACTTCCAAGGCCATCTCAGTTCTAGATAGTGGTGTAAATATGCATGTGCCATGGATGCCAAACATTTGTGTAAAACCTGATGGTCATATTATCCAGCATGATTTGAGACCGTTTTAAAGATATTCTTGTGCTTCAAATGTTTCCATGATAGCTCAAATGTTTCATTTGTGTGTGTACACGTGTGATGTTTGATCTCCTTTAGCTGGAGAGTCAGTGTCGAGAGCTGCACAGCGAGCAACGAGAGACGGCCGTGGAGAACGTAAAACTCAAACAGTATAATGACGACTTGAGCCGTGAGCTGGAACACACCACCCAGGAGCTGAGCCTGGCCCAGGAGCAACTCATGCTGCTGCAGGATCAGTCCTCACGCCTGCACGAGGAGCGAGAGATGTGAGGATGTTAGGAAATGTTAGGATGTTGGATGTTAGGAAATCATCTAGATTAAAAGCCAAAGCTTATTGTGAAAATGCAAATAAGCAGAGATGTTTTCTTGATATTTGTAGTTTTGAGTAATCAAAAGAGGTACTACTTCATACATTTCTAATATACAGTATGTATATACAGTTGTAATCAAAATTATTCAACCCCCATTGCAAATCGGGTTTATTTGCAACATTTACAGACTTCCAGCTGTTTGCAATGAACAAATCAAACAAAAGTAATTGAATTAGCTGTTAGCTGAAAAAGGGTTTTTTTCCCAAATTCAACTGAAAATGCAACTTTTAATGACTTCTGCAGTCTCAAAATTATTCAACCCCCTGAATAGAATCCCTCACAACAGCACAAATCTGCAAAACAGATGTTTTGGGCTTCATTAGTTGCACCAGGTGCGCTTGAGCTAGAACACATGACATATCTGAACTGGCTAGGTGTGTTGCTGTTGAGTGTCACGTTTGACTGCATGCTAGAAGTCAAAAGAAAGGTCCAAAAACTTAAGAGAAAATATCATCGCTCTTCACAAACAAGGAACAGGATACAAAAAGATAGTGAATGCACTAAATGTTTCTAGAGAGACCGTTAGAAGCATAATTCACAGTTAAAGTAATAGTGGTTACACTACCTGAATGGGCAGAATAAGGAAGCTATCTACGGCTGCAACCAGATTTCTGAGAAGGCAGGTTTATTTCCTTGGAGAAAACATCATGCTGTCAGTGAGGAAGTTGAAGCTTGGGTGTCATTGGAGCTTGAAACAGGACCTGTGATCCCAAGCATACCTCAAATTCCACCAAGGCTTTGTTGCAGAGAAGTCCTGGAAGATTCTACAGTGGCCATCACAGTCACCTGACTTTAACTCCATTGAAAATCTGGTGGGATTTGAAGAAGGCGGTTGCATCACCCAAACCCAATAATATTTCTGAACTGGAGGCCATTGCTCATGAGGAATGGGCTAAGATTCCTCAGAACCGCTGCCAGAAGATGGTGTCTGATTATACATCTCGTTTGCAGCAGGTCATAACAGCAAAAGGGTGTTCTACTGAGTACTAAAGATGCTTGTCATGAAGGGGTTGAATAATTTTGAGACTGCAGAAGTCATTAAAAGTTGCATTTTCAGTTGAGTTTGGGGAAACCACTTGAAACATTTTATGTGTTGAGCTATTTCAATTACTTTAGTTTGATTTGCTCATTGGAAACAGCTGGAAGTCTGTACATTTTGCCAATAAACCTGATTTGCAATGGGGGTTGAATAATTTTGTTTACAACTGTGTGTATATATATATATATATATATATATATATATATATATATTACCTCTCAAAAGTTAAAAAAAAATTTTATTATTATTTGAAAGCTGCTCACAGAGGCTGCATTTATTACATCAAAAATAAAGTAAAACCAGGAATCTTGCGAAATATTATTACAAATTAAATATTAATTAAATATTAGCTGTTGTACATTATGCCCCTTGTTTGATTTATTGTCAGTCTTGTTGCTAAACTCATTGTCATTAAAAGAGTTTGTGTTTACTACAGGGAGATTTATAGGGTTACAGAAAGCCTGCAAAGAGAAAGGGCAAGTCTTCTCAAGCAGCTTGATTTGCTAAGGTAAGGAATTACTATAAATGAAGGAGAAGGTCTTTGTTTGCCCAGAATTGACTTGTATTCTATTTAATTCCTCCTAGGGAAATGAACAAACACTTACGAGATGAAAGAGACATGTGCTATCAAGTAGGTTCATATAGACATTATATAAGATATTGTACTGATCCTGATCAGTCTACGGATCCTTTTGACTATTTCAAGTAATTGTTTGCTGTCTCTCAGAAACCAAAGACTGCTGCTGCAAAACTCTCATGGACACAAAGGTCTGGATCAATTACTGTGAATCACGCTGAGCGGAAGCAGTCATTCAAGAGGTAAGGCTGTGTGAAAATGCCATCTGTACACTCAACGGTACTCAAGATGAAAGGATACAGTGAAACTGCAAAATTTAAAAAAAGATGCGAGTCTCCTGAGATAAAAGAACTAGTCGTTTTAGACCCAAGTTAAATCAAAGCTTATTGTGAAGACGTCAATGAGAAGAGGTTTTCTTGATATTTATAGTTTGAGTTTTCAAAAAAGATACTACTACATCTTGCTCATGTCATTTTGGTGAATAAATTTAAATATAGGCTGTTGTTGTCTCCAGCGACGAGGATGAAGAAGTTCTGCCGCATTCTAAGCGGAAGAACGTGAGTGGCGTAAATGGGCACAGCATTAACCTGGAGGACATGGTAGATGGGCGACCTCCTTCAAAACACCAGCTCCAGAGGATCATCTCAATCGAGGAGGACCCCCTCCCGCAGCTCCTTCAGCAGGGTTATCAGGCCCAGCTTAGTGAATGGAGTGAAGATGAGGAGTTGGAGGAGGGCATTGATCTTCAGATGAGCAATATTTACCCCACAACCAGCACTCCGACCTCTGTTTCACCCCCTCTAGGAGGCGCACAGACGCCCACCTCACCCAGGGGACAGCCTGTGGGCAAAGAGACAGTCCACTCGGTGAGAATATGACTTGATTGGTCAAAACCTTGGCCATTTGTTGAGGTTTCAAAATGAGTACACTTTAAAAAAATAAAGGTTCTTTATTGGCATCAATGGTTCCATAAAGAATCTTTAACATCCATTTGATCTTTACATTGCACAAAAAAAGGTTCTATATAGTGTAATTGTTTATTTAGATGAATAAATTTACCTTTATTTAACCAGGCAAGTCACTTAAGAACAAGTTCTTATTTTTAACAGCTTGGCGGGATAAATAAAATCTCCTGAAAAACATAGAAACATACATTGCAATACACTACATACATTCAATGAAAATAAAATCTTCACATTTAATTTTGGATATTGGGTATAAAATAAGGTATTTGGGTCAAATGGGTCCTGCTGATAGAGGTCCCCTTCTATCTTTTTTTTTTTCCAGGATGAAGGGTCCAGTTCAGGTCCAGATCGTTTGTTTAAGATCGTTCTGGTCGGGAATTCCAGCGTGGGAAAAACGTCTCTTTTACGTCGCTTCTGTGATGACTGTTTCCACCCTGGTACATGTGCTACTGTAGGTCAGTGGCCTTCCATTTACTTGTTTATGTTTACTAGTGTCTATAGGTATTTTTGATTTATTTAACCTAAATAGCCTAAATGAAAATTGTCAAAAATTAACTTGCCCTCATATTGCTTCAAATCTATTTCTTTGGGTGTGAGTGAGTCCACAGCTTGCTTCATAACTTGTCGCCATGTTGTTGGGTCTGTTAATTCTCCACATTCTAATGACAGTGAGACTGTTAAAATATATTTAATCGCACAAAACGAGGTTTTACTGACTCTTGATTTCATCCTTTAACACACTCAGGACTATTTCAAATATAACACTAAGTATATAGATGTCATAGAATTGTTGTTTTTTTATTGCGTCAATAATAATAATTATTATTATTTCTATTTGTATCTCTTATATTCACCATTTATTTAATAAGAATACTGTAAAAACATTCATATTCTGAAATATTACCATTTAAAATAACTGTTTTCTATTTAAATATATTTTATAATGTAATTTATTCCTGTGATGGTAAAGCTGAATTTTCAGCATCATTACTCCAGTCTTCAGTGTCACATGATCCTTCAGAAATCATTCTAATATGCTGATTTGGTGCGCAAGAAACATTTCTTATTATCAGTGTTGAAAACTGTTGTGCTGCTTAATATTTTTGTTGAAACTGGAAAATTTGGATGAACAGAAACAGCATTTTTTTTTTTTTTTTTTTTTACATGTTGTAAAGTCACTGTTTTGATCAATAATGTGTCCTTTCTGAATAAAAGTAATAAGTTCTCTAAAAAAATCTTACTAACCTGAAACTTTAAAAAAGATTTACAAAATAGCAATGTGGCAATACCATGATGCAGTAATACCAAAGTATTTTGGATATGTGCTATGATATTGATCGATTATCATATTCATGCACCATACTATTTACACGGCACTTAAAAACAATAACATAAAAATAATGTGTCATAATATGTCTCAATTTGCATGATTCCTATATTGAGCTGGTTTTAAACATTTATCAATAACTTGGTATTGATTTAAAACCTCAAATCAATTCCATCTGCCCTTTAGTCAGGGCTTGTACGTGTGGAGCTTCCTCTGGGAAGGGAAAAAAGAAGAAGCATGAAGACATTAAATGTCAGACCCCCTTCCTCCTCTTTCAGACTGACTTCTTTCATGTGTGTGACGTGTGCAGGTATTGACTTCAGTGTGAAGACTTTAACAGTGGACAACAGCCAGGTAGCCCTGCAAATGTGGGACACAGCTGGACAGGAGAGGCAAGTGATATTTACTAATAGAAATTACCGGTAGTCATAATCTGTATGTTATCAGAGGCCTAGTTGTTTGTTGATCGTGCCATTGTGTCTGCTGACTAAGAAAACAGATGAATGCAAAAGTTTCATTGTGGGTTTCCACCTTCAGGTATCGCAGCATCACCAAGCAGTTTTTTCGCAAGGCCGATGGTGTGGTAGTGGTGTATGACATCACTAGTGAGCAGACTTTCACGGCAGTTAGGCAGTGGCTGACCAGCGTGCAGGTGAGTGATTCATTTCCACTTTAGGAGTAAAATACAAAATGTATGCTTGTGTACACATAAACCTCTAAAGTGAAGTTTGTTTGAGATATTGGCTGTGTCCGAAATCTCCACTCAAACCACTACTCCCTAACCCCTATGTAGGGGGTAGGGAGTAGAGCACTATATAGTGAGCTCAACAGCATAATAGAAACACCACTTTCGGACACTACTCGATGGTCTCTCGGCACCGTTGATTACGTCATTACTGTTGCACTATTTAAACGCGCCATCATCTGTCAGCTGGTGCCGAGCCAGCTCTGGGCTAAATAGATTTTTTTTTTTTTATAAATACATTACATTATATTGAGCTTATTTCTCCAAAATTGTAAAATTAAAAGTCATTTCTGGCCGTTTCTGTTATAATGCGTTACTCCACACATGATTATAACTTATAAACATAAATAAAATTAATACACATATTTCATATAGTTTCATTTTCGCGCCACACCGTTTTCTCTTGCCTGTCGACATTAGGGAAAAAAAACAGATCTATGTTATCAAATATCTTGCTCTTAATAAAACCGATTTTAGACTCTGTGGAGATGCCACTCAATATTTATCTTTTTTGTTTGTTTGTTCTCGTGATTCAGAAGATTTTGCGGATTAGCAAAAGAAACAGGATTTCTAGACACAGAAAACGACGTGCTGTTCTTGCTACGCTAGCGAGACGTCGTCAAATTGTAAGTTGAAGATGATGCTGATAGGTCTTTTACGATCAGCGCAATGCATGATGGTATGTAGGGCTTGGGTTAGTGACCATCGGTTGTACACTACTTTTCAAAATGCATTCTGGGATACATTGAGTGGACTATATAGGGTATAATAATCATCACTATACATTCGGACAGCACTACAAAATGGCGAGCTCACTATATAGTCCACTATATAGTGAGTAGTGGGAGATTTCGGACACAGCCATTGATTGGAATTCTAATGAAATAATGGGGTAATGATGTATTTTGTCCAATAAAATGCTCTCTAGTTATGAACATGCCTCTTCCACTTAAATTATAAATACGTCCTACTTCCGACTAGTAATAGCAAGTAGCAATTGGCTTTTTTGTTTTCCTTTTCCATTTGTTTCTATCAGTGGTACAATGTGGTTTTCTTTTTTTATGTATTAGCTATTGGCCTAAAAAAAAAAGAATGTGCTAGTTAGTAGAATGAGATGGTTGTCACAAGGAAGAAAACTGTGCTTGTCAAACTACACTGCCATTCAAAAGTTTGGGGTCTGTTATATATATAAAGAAATTAATACTTTTATTCAGCAATGATGTATTAAATTGATCAAAAGAGACAGTAAAGACATTTATAATAAAAAGCATACAAAAGCATAAATGATTTTTCTATTCATCAAAGCATACTAAAAAAAGTATTATGATGTCCACAAAACTAATTAGCAGCACAACTGACTTTAACATTGAGAATAATAAGAAATGTTACTTGAGCAGTAAATCAGCCTATTAGAATGATTTCTGAAGGATCATGTGACACTAAAGACTGGAGTAATGATGCTGAAAATTCAGCTTTGCCATCACATGAATAAATTACATTATAAAATATATTAAAACAAAAAAACATTTATTTGAAATTGTAATATCATTTCACAGTATTATTGTTTTTACTGTATTTTTCCATAAAACAAATGCAGTCTTGATAAGCTTGAGAGCAAGACACTTTTTAAAAAACATTGAATCTCAAACTTTTGAACAGTAGTGTATATCTTAACCAAAAAAACGTATGCCAAGTAAGCTAACGGTATCATCACTGCAGTTTTTAATAGTTATAATGGGAAGGGGTTGTCATTTTTCATACAACAGGAGGGAGCAGGTGAGGACATTCCCATCATGCTCTTGGGGAATAAGACAGATCTAGACGGCGAGAGAATAATTCCGCTGGGAACGGGAGAGAAACTAGCCAAGGTGAGTGAATCTGGGCCCTGGATTGGCACTAATGGATCACCATTAAACATATTAAGCATGGCACTCTTGAAATGAACAAGTAAAAGAACAGGCTCAGACATCAGTGTGTAGTTTGATGAGATATATGAAGTGGTTTCCTGTCAGTTTCAGTTACTGTTGCGTGTACTCAGCAGACATTAAGAACCACACTGAATGACATAAGAATGACTCTTTATTCTTAACATAAGTTATTGTGTTCACTCTTTCAGGACTTTCAATTGATTTTCTATGAGTGCAGTGCTTTTTCAAGCCACAATGTGACAGAGTCCATGATTCACATGGCAAGGTAAGAGTGTATGGTAACACAGTGTCACATGTACTTACTGTACGTTACATGTTGCACATTACATTTTACATGTTACATGTACTTAATAACAGTAGATTATACATAATTACAAGCAACTTTCCCTAAACTAACCCCTATACCCTATAGTAAGTAAATGTTGTTAATTGATATTACTCAGTAAATGTATAATTACACTGTAACAAGGACACATTAAATAGTCTGAGTTTATTAACAAGTTTATCAAATGACTAATTTCTTAGGTATATTCAGTGGTTCACTTTGCAGTTTAATCTGACCAAGAACCACCCTATTCACTCAGAATGCATTTTTGCTTTTCACTGTGTAGAATTTCCATGTTTTTTCTATGTAAACATGCGCTAGACGGATGTATTTGACATTTATGCTCATGTTTCGTGCATGACATGCTTGTTCTGAAAATGTAGAGCTCAAGGCTTAAAAAAGTTCAACATTTAAAAAATGCATCTCTATTCCACTGCCCTTGAACGCAAAAATGCATGTGTGAACCGGCCCCATAGACAGGAAATGACTGCCTGACAACCACAAAACAAACCACGGATTGTTTCGTTTTTACATGTTTAGTGCCGGGTTTATCTGTAATCTATGATACCACAATAATAGATTGGTGTAGTGGTCCTAGTCAAACAGTTTTATAGAAAAGATTGAAATATAAGAAATGTTGATGAAGAATTTTTGTCCATGCAAAACAAATAAATACAGATTATTCCACTTGCATAAACACATGATGAAATATATACTTCTACTCATGACTTTTTAGTTTGCTTTGCTTGCCCTTAAGTGAATCTTAAACAACATTTTAATGCCACCAACCTTAGTTTACAAGTTTATAATCCAGTGATTAGTTCTTTTTTTATTAAAACATGTTTATTATTGTTGTTATTATTACCGTAATACAATATAAATATTAAATTAAAAACAAAAAAATTGCCTTAGCAACTAACAGAAATAAGTTAAAATCAAAATGATTAAAAAAAGTAAATAAAAAAATGTAAGCGATTTATTTTAAAAAAAAAAAAACATTTAAAAAAAACGCATGACAAAAATATTAAAACTAAAATTTTGATAACAACATTGATAATTACTATAATTATATATTAATACTACTAATAATAAGCTTCAGTAAGTGAATAGACTGTTAGCATAACAATTCTTAATACCTGGAAACAGGGCCTGAAGTTAACTTTTTTGGCCACCAGCCACTGTGGCAGGTGGATATAAAAATTCACCTGCCACAGAGACTTTTTACCAGCCTTTTTTTTTTTTTTTTTGCCTCATAGCCTAAAGGTGAAAAACGGGAATTTCACAATATTGTTCTTTAACTTGTACACATTTAAGTGCTGTCAAGTTATTAACGAAATCAATATAAGTAATAATAACTCTTAGAATATACCAGTGGCGTAGGCAGAAATTGTATTTTGGGTGGGCCAGTGAAAATGTGAGTGGGCCTATAGTTTTTCATAGAAAAAAAATGACTTCAGTAATAATTAACCTTAGAGAGTAGAAAAATTAATAGACAAACTGCAAAAACAGTTACACCTTTATATTCGGCAAATCATCATGTTCAACCAACAGAGCTTAATAAAGGCTGGACAAACCAGTGTAGACAATAACCTGTCTATTTTATTCAGGCTAGTCAGCAGTCCAAAGACAGTTTACCCGAAAATAAAGTAAGCTAAAATAATAATATCGCAGTTAGATCGGCGGCTAAACCCGCGTCAGGCTGACGGAGAGAGGGAGCAAAAAGCAGCCGCCACCAGCACCTGACTAGCCTTCTGGGTTAATGAGTTTGAAGAACTGGGCTGTGTGGACTCGGTAGATGAAGGCAGTGGCGTGTCTTCTTCCTCAACTCTTGCTTTTTTCAAATAGCACATTAAAGAAAGTTGTTTAGCCATTATTGTGGCGCCGACGACGCTTGTGAGTTTTCCTGTTGGAACCCCCAGCAACCATAGCAACCAATAACGTTCCGGAGAGAGGCTTTCTACAACTTGCTTCGACAGTTTCATTTTATTCGGAAAACGAATTAAACACACACAGCAGTCAACAATAAATCAGGTATATATTAATATATTTTCTTAAATACATTTGAATAAAAATAAACTAAAAATGTATTTTTATCAAACTTGCCTGGGCGGGCCAGTGAGTAATGTGGGCGGGCCAGTGCCGCCCTGGCCCAATACTGGCTACGCCCCTGGAATATACATTTTAAAAAAATCTTTTTATTCATTGATTTTGACACACACATGCACAACAGATCTATAGACCTACCGCAGCTCGTATGTAAACAAATCACCCGCGGCTGTGTTGATGGCTGATTTAGTCACGTAGACAGCTAGGTCCTGACAGCTTTTAGTTACAGCGTTCAGGAACCGTTAAGCAGAACTAAATTAATATTATTATTGGTAAAGTTACCGGGTACCGGACATTTTCTCACCGGTTCCCAACTCCCAACATGTACTACAGTTGCACACGCACACATCTGTGCAACTGTCATTGTTCTGGAGCCTACGTCAGCGTTACATTATCTCATCCCATCTCACCAACAGTTCAATACTGGCACATCCAAACGTAGTCAGAAAAGGGCCTCATCTTCTTTCTGATCGCATGAACGTTACGAAACAACAGTCGCTGTCATAAATCAGCCGCTCACGAACCTTGCCGTTGTCTCCAATTGACCACTTTGTATTAAAATGTCTTATTTTACTTTTCTTTGACTCATCCTCATCTTTTTGTTGGTTGTTTGTTTCAGCTGGCCTTTTTACCCCAGTAATGTGCCGCCACATTATAGCTAAGGTCCAACGCAATGAAAATGAAAACGTAAAAAAAAAAAACTAATGAATCACTCAATTCTCATTGGCTACCTGCCAATGTGGCAGGTAGATTGACAGTGTTACCCGCCAATAGCAAAATTCACCCGCATTTGGCAGGTGGTCGGGTGTTAATTTCAGGCCCTGCCTGGAAAAGTCAATTGCATATGCAACTGCAAAAATGATCGATTTTCACCACTAACGTTTCAGCCAGCTCATAATTCACACATTATTATTTAGTTGCATTGTATTGCACCTCATATGATGTGACACTTTTTCCCCTCTCTGCCAGAGTTCTGAAAGAGCAAGAGGACAGAGAAAAAGAGAAAACTGTGTCGCTAGTAGACAGCGCAGCAAAGAAGAAGTCCTGCTGCTCGTAGAAAGCCTTCCATAAACACTCACAGAAACCTTGGTGTTAATGCTGATCTGGTTTGTCTTGCTCTTATCTTCCTGTTTTCTCTAATGTCAGCATTTTTGTATGACCACTGTAGAGTTCAAAATGTTTGGTCTTTTTTTTATTTATAAACCAGTACCTCTTTACAGTGTGAAACGAATGAGTTTTATGATAACAGTTAGATGTAGGGCTTTAGTGCACTATAGTATTGTACACACTAGAATTCATCAAACGTGTCCCTATTAAGGTCATTTAAAACACCCGTCACACTATTGAAGTAAACAAAGTTGTATTTTCGTATTGACTGTTGTTGTACTTTATCTTTTTAATATAGGAAAGTGTATTTTAAATGAGCAAAACAAGCTCCTACAGATGCTAGTTTGTTTACAGTCATTTGCACAAATGTATTATTTATTACTTATGTGATGGATTGAACATTTTGAATTATTCCTTTATTATTCCTAGCAAGCAGACATGGAAAAATGTCTCTATTTACTCTCACCAGCATGAATATTTTTAACACACTGCCATGAAGCAAGCAGGTGGTTTGCATGAGGATTCGGTTTTAACAGGGTTCAGTGTTGTTGTTTTTTAACTACATTGAAACAATTGATCTATTGAAATTAGATTTTGTCTAACATTGATTTGAGAACACTTTTTGATTGTATTTCATGTATTTTGCCAACAGTAATATATATATATATATATATATATATATATATATATATATATATGTCTGTATTTGTAATTTAATGTAGTCAGTGTTAAATAAGTGCATAAAGTCTCGCAGAATTTATTACTCTTCACACTTACCATAAATAACGATTTCCTCACATTTTTAAGGAAGCATTAATTGTCCACCAGACAGTGGACTTATGCACATCTAAGATGAACAATAAGGCTTATACTGTGTTTTATCAAGTCGTTCAGTTTTTCAGTGATCACAATATGAGTCTTCATGTGGATTCACACATTGATTCTCTATCACAGCTGGGCAGAATACACTAAATTTGAACACCATGTGACCGTTTTAGATGATTTCACACTCATGGGGTCTTGTAAATGTTCCTGCTTTATTGTATACATGTGTAAATATTAAATAGAAATGTATTTTGAGTGAAATGTTGGAATAAAGAATACTATGTTTGCATTAATTCTAGTTCGTGCTTTCAAGGAAATGGCAAGAGGAGGCATTACATGCCAGCTAACAATGAACACTAAAACATAAGAATTCAGATATTGAAAAGGCATTGTTCTGAAAGCTTAGCCTGAGGTTAAACTGGTTAATCCAGTTTTGCCCGTTTAAATAAAGTATTTAAATGTTTAAAATGCGTAACCGTTTCATGTATTTTTTTTTTCTTGGAAATATTTTTTTATCTTGCAGATACTCTTTACACTGTGGAATGGTTTCCAAACCCCCCTTTAAATAATACCAATAATTGTTTATTTATTTATGATATACACAATGGCTATGTTCGATATAGCGTACCATATCTCTTAGTATGCAGTGTGTATAATGTACACAGTATGGACATTTCCTGTATGCAAAGATTACCTGAAAAATCTGCAACATTTTCCAAAATGTGCAATACACAACCAGAACACACTGTGTGGAACAATGGATGCCACAATGCAAACCATTTAACTTTAGTATATGAAGAGTGATGAATGAAATGGAAGTAATATCAACTGCAATTTTTGTGTCTTTTTAGACTAATTATTTCCCAGAAGTTAAGCCAATTACCCACACTTTGGATTACAAATGCAGTATTGCTGTATTTTTTTTTTGTTTGAACTGGCTATACTAAAGGAAATATTGAACATGATGAATTCATGTGACCAATAGAGCCTACTGAAACATTTAGTGCTGCATATTGCATGTTTCCCATACTAATATGTATATGACCCTGGACCACAAAACCATAAGGGTAAATTTTATTGAAATTGAGATTTATACATCACCTGAAACCTGATTAAATAAGCTTTTCATTGATGTATGTTTTTGTAGAATAGGATAATATTTGGCTGAGATAAAAGCCTTTAAAGTTGTCCAAATGAAGTCCTTCGCAACGCTTATTACTTTTTTTTTTTTTTTTTTTTTTACAGACAGACATACAGACCAAAATAGCGTAATAACGAACAATATAGTAATTCCATAATTCCAGAAGTGAAAAATAACAGTGAGTGTGTGTGCATTAGCAAAATAACCATTTATTATTTATTACCATCATCTTTACCATCACCACCACCACTCCTCACTACCAACATACTACCAACATTGTATTAGTCAATTTTTATTTTTATTCTTATTTCCATCTTTCCTCCTATGTAACAATTACCATTGTCAGCACTCTTCAAAAATAAAAGATACTTGAATAAGATAATATAAGATAACCCTCCCCCCACATCTCTTCAGTCCCTATTTTCTCCGAAGATTTTTTTTTTTTTTTTTTTTTTTTTGTTATGTGTAGTGTCTAAGCTGCATTAAAACAAGGGGTACAGTGTGAGAGTGTCTCAACTTGGGACAGAGATGCTGTCCCATGGAAACCACTTCTCTCCTGTCTTGCCTGCCTAAGTGTTTGAGGTTTTTCAGTGTATATATATACATACACACATTTAAAAAAAAAAAAAATTCTCTCTATTCTACGATGTGGTGCATTAAAAACACATGAAAAGATTAGGGGGGAATTTTGGAAACAATCAATTAATTTAAAGGTGGGGTATGTGATTTTTGTAAATTTTTTTCAAAATAACTTGAAATCCTATTCCTAACCCACTTACAGCCACTGAGTTAGAAGCACTGAAATGAAAATTAAGCAATTTAATCATCTGTGGAACGGGCAGGACTCGAAAAAAACCCTCCCCCCAGCGCGCGTCACCTCCGTCGTGGGCATACTCAAAGTTTGTGACGCATGCGCATCTCGTCAGTAAAGCCGGTGTTGTGCCGAATTTCGACTCCCTGCCAAATTATTACCCCCCTCATTGAAGTCAGTACCTGATTGCCTAATCCTAACCCCACCTATAATCCTAACCCCTCCCCCACAACTAATCCTAAACCTACCAATACTAGGTGGGTAATAATTTGGCGGGGGTCAGAATTCGGCACCACACCGGTTCCATGATTATAGTAAATCGTTATTACAATCTCTTGCGCATCTGAGTTTTCGCTCGTGCATGATTGAGGGTCCATGTTCTTCGAATGGGTGGAGTCAGAGCCGGCTTTGGAGGAAAGAAGGTAGGACCATTTGAATTGTATATTTTCAAAATCTGCCGGTCGTTTTCCAAATCATACCCCACCTTTAACTATAGCAGTAGTGACAAGACAACACCAGGTTAGTAATTCCAAAACAGCACTAACAATGGTAATAATAATAGTAATAATAATGATAATGATGATAATGATGGCAATGGTGATAGCAATGATGAGAGCAACGGCAATAACAACAGCAATAACAACAATAAAAAAAAGTAATCATAACATTAACAATAATGATGATAATGGCACTGATGACAAAAATAACAAAAATAAAGTAATATCCGTGGGTTGATTAAAAAGGTGGGAGGAGTCGGAGTTGAAAGGAGAGAAAGGATTCATATTTGTAAGAGGTCAGAAAGTGTTGGATGACAGAGGTCGGTTTCAGATGCGTAATTATAATGGGGAGATGTGTATTCCATTGTAATGAAGTCTGTAATAAGATTTTTCCAATGGTTAAAAAGTAAACTAGAGCAAAGTTCCTACATTGTGGTAGTGGTTTGCTTAATATAAATACATTGTACATGCCATTTTACTTAGATAAGTTGCACACTTACCTAAAGTGTAGATACTTTTTATTCCAAGAACTGGTTTACAGGATCCAGCGAAGAAGGTCTGCCAGTCACACACTGCATGGGACTTCTGTTGTACCATCCTCCCTTCCAATGACCGCGATGTTAGCAGAAGAGCTGTCATGTACAACTTTCTCCAGCACACTCTGTGAAGGCACCACATGACGTTTGAATGCTCTCTTGAGAAGCCCAAAACACCAGTCAGGCGCAAATTTGGTGTGCCTGGCAATAAGGAAATTCAAGGTTATGCTCCTGTGCAAACCCATTGCGACTCTCCAGGCACAAAACCAAAGGACAAAAGGGTTTTTGTTTTGCCCTAAGCAATTCTCGCAGACAGTGGAGATGCACATCTGTTTCTCCAGTGCCATAATTGCTGAAGAAAAAATGCAGGTATGAAATCACCACATTTGAGCCTTTACTAAGGAGATGCCACGGGCTTCATCAACCAGGAAGTTCACCTGCCGAGGAATCCCCTCACAGCAGACACCAAACAACCCATACTTCCTTGGATCTAGAAAATAAATTGGTCCTGCATGGCTGCAAGGGGTTACTTGGCAGGTGGACTTGCTGGGCATAGTCAAACGAGTAGTGCATAGTGATGTTGCGACTACATGGCTGATTGCTGCTTAGGTCTTTGATGTCATTTTCAGCACACGCTTTATTGGCCTCTGTTACCATGTTATTGTACAGGGACCTCGCAGTTTTAACAGTCAATAGATGCTTCTCTTGTTGTGCAACACGGTCTCTTTTCTGGACGCCTGTCAAGCTCGCACTACGGAAGATGAGACTATTATTCTCCAGGCAAACCCAACACAAGTCCGCCATTGGCTTGGCCGAGATAATAAAAGGGCAGACTTTCTTCCAAAGCTTGAAACAGTTGCTGTCTCCCATTATTCTGTGTCCTGAAAGCAACAAATACAAGAATCCGATAATGTAATTTTCTAAAGTGTTCCAAAGGCTTGAAATGTTTGTGCTCTCTCTATAATACAAAATTTCAATAATAATTGAATTGGAGTACAGATTGGAAGCAGCATTGAGGTTTTTGTTCCAAAATTGTAAGTGGTGGGTCATTACTAGTTTACTTACATGTGCAGGAATTTGAAAGTATTGCGGCATAACTGCTTTCCATCCAATAGTAAGTCCTCTGTCTCCTTCCTTTTTGATAAGTTTGTGGTCTCAGAGTTGTTGATTGAACACGAAATCTTCACAAGGAGGATGAGCATTTGGTCCCCTGAAAAGGAAACAGCAAACTAGCTAAAAAACGGAATTTTATAGATCTGGATTTTGCCAGAGAAAGGCTTACATTATTGTATTTCATTGTTTTTCACTGGACAATGACAAATAACTTCTATTTCGATATTCCTGACATCATGCTTGTTAACGAAGGAACCGTTTTTAAACGCGAAAAGCGATTAAAATAGTTGAAATCTTAGCAAGCAAAAGGTAACATGACGATTTATAAACTTTAAACTGTCTGTACAATTTTCATGAATTCTTTTTTTTTTTTTTTTTACTCCTGGCATACTAACTGGATGTCAATTCTCTCATGGCTGCTCTCATGTAGGCCTATCATTCCCTCTGGGGTGAAGAGGCGATAGCATGGCTGCACATCATTGTACTGACAATTACAGCTGAAAACAAAACAATATCACTTTGTTGAATATAGGAGCTGGCTACGGCAAAAAATCATCATACACACCTACATGACATCATCAGCTAAGCTAGTTTATATTATAGTAAGCAGTATACTGTGCAAAATGCCATAACCAGTGTGTCTGTTTTTCATAATATTTTCACGCCCCCTTGTGGACTACAAGTTGTACTTCATTTAGAGCACAATCAAGTATTACTTTTACTGTCTATGAGTATTACACTGCATATTAAAGGACAAATGGCTTTTATTTTCTGCTTTACCATCCAACATCTTACATCAATACATACATATTTATCTTTCATTACAGCATTATGTCAACCTTTACAGACAGTCAAGGATGCTTTCAATATGGCATGCTATTACACCTAAACATTTTACTTGGCTTTAATATATTATTAGTTTTAACCTATGTTATTTACTATTATCTTGACAGATGCTGAAATTATGGCAAAATTATCATTTTAAAACATTTTTAACATGTAAACCTCAAATTTCAGTAACATTCTATCAGACCTAATTATGAACAATACATATTAATAAAGGACAATGTGCTTTGCTAGTGAACCGAATGTCTTTGGTGAGGACTTGAACAGTATAATCAGCTGTGACACGGGGGTCACAGATGTACCGGGACGGGACCTGATCCCAGTCATCGCCTTGGCAAAGACTCTTATAAGAGCACAGGTGAAGAGCAGCATGCCATCTGAGTCCAGCTCATCAAGATCTCACCGCAGACAGAGCCAACATTCCACATGGCATATGTTTTGATATGTATAAATTATGTGCTGTTTCTCTCTCTATATTTTCAGCTCTGTGCTCTGTTAGCAGATGCAAGTGGAAATGTAATTATCACACACCTAGAATCATAATTAACACTAACACTACATATTGCAATCTCATAAAGCTACTAGAAAAACAAATGCACAAGTTCATCACATCACTGTATTGCAAACTCACGTTCGGCTGTTAATTTCCATTATTAGATTTTGATTCATTTTCCTCTGATCTTCATATAGGCCTGATCAAAACCTGATCCTAAATCTACATAACGACGTATCCTACTGCAATAAAGTTGTTAAATTTACTTAAACTGAATTATTACTACAGGTATGTAAGTGTTAATTAAACTATGTATGTAAGTTTAATATGTTAAACTTCGCAATGTCTGGGACTCAGATGCACACCTTCAACATGAACTCACACTCCTAATATAAAAAGCAAAGTAACCATAAACTAACACTTAACATTCATAAGCCCATGACATTCTTTTGTTTGCAGTGGGGTGCAGTCATAGTCGGCCCCTGAACAGTCGGAGAGATGGCGTATTAGTGCAGGCTATAGTTGGCGAAGGCAAGGACACTATTGCTAGAAGTGCCACCCCGCTCCAAAAAACAGTGGCAAGACTCCCAGGAATAACGTATGTCCTGGTCTTTCTCTCTGTGTTGCTGTAGCTATGATCTGGAGCGTCTCCTGCATCCACTTCTCTGAATGCTGTCAAGAACCGTCTCTCGCCTCTGCTGGATGCTTAGCGCATCTTATAGTCGTGAGCGATAGCGGCCTCACATAGCTGACCTTTAAAATCCAGCTCAAAGGTAAAGTCCAGATCACGCTGGATAGAAAACAGGAAGAAGCAGAAACGTTAAATTGTAGAATCGTTATAACAATTTGAGTAAAGAAAGTCTAACTGAATAATACACTACCATTCCAAAAGTTAGATTTATTGCATTATAACTGATTCAATTAATCAAAAGTGACAGTAATGACTTTAAGGGCCCTATTTTAACGAACTAAGCGCATGGTCTAAAGCGCAGGGCACAAGTGCACTTAGGGCATGTCTGAATCCACTTTTGCTAGTTTAACGACGGGAAAAATGGTCGGCACGCGCGGCGCATGGTCTAAAAGGGTTGTCCCTATTCTCTTATTGAGTAATTGGTGTGTTTTGGGTGTAACGTGCAAAAAACTAATCAGAGTCTCTTTAAAAGCCAGTTGCGCTCGTGCCATGGCGGATTGCTATTTACATGACGGAATTTCCAAGCGGAAAGACTGAACGCTTCTCCAGAGAGCAAACGGATCTGCTAGTGCGCGAGGTTAAAGCTGTGTGTGTGTGAGGTTAAAGCGCACGAGCAGACCATCTACGGGACAAGCTGGATTCCACCATATATTTTTGTACACTATAATAATCTTTTACATTGTAATCCTTTTATTTTTGATATTTGGCTAGTTTGTGTGCTGCTGCACGTCCCTGTGTGTGTAATAAGCAGAGTGTACGTGCGTTGTGGACCCGCCTATAGGTGCATATTACTAATCAGTCCTTTAAATAACAAAAAAAAATACTGCGCCATTGACTTTAGACCAGGTTTTTGTTGGTCAATGGCACAGTCTATTAGCCTGGATGCCAGCCCGAACCCTGCCCACAACATTTTGTGGTCGGGAAGTTCTGTCTGGACTCGCTCCATTGAGGAGTAATTATGATCAGTCAAAAAATGTTCGGGCCAATCAAATTGCCAGGGCGGGCTTTATACGATGATGGACAGATGATCTGCAGGGACGTATTCCTCACGTTATCAAAGAGCGCTTAACTGGTTTCCCTCAGAGATGACTGCCGCAGGAGAACTGAGATATATAGATTCCGCTATCGCGTCTGTTGTAAAAGAAATCGACAGCGCATTCATTTTAATAGACGAACAGAGAACAGCAATCAAGGCATTTGTCGATCGGAAATTTGTCGATCGGCCGTCCTTCCTACGGGCTTCGGCAAAAGTTTAATTTATCAGCTGGCTCCGATTGTAACTAAGAAGATGGGGCGCAATGAAAACCCTGTGATCGTTGTGGTTTCTCCTTTGGTCGCACTCATAGAGGGCCAAGTAAAAGAAGCAACACTCGTTATTTTACTTCTTCCAGCGTGCGTGCATTTGAGTTCTGTAGTTGACAACTGTGCTATGCAAAGTAGTTGACTTACTGCGTTGCTCTCATTGGTTGTAGGTCTATCCAAAAGTTTATTTTTCCTGGTTCGGTTAAGACACGCCTCATAATCAAAGCCCTATGGAGCAGTATCAGACTCACATTCTGACTAGAATATGAGTATGACGAAGTCAGGCTAACAGTCTATTTCAGTTGCCTCAAAATAGCAACGGGCCAACAATGTGCCTGAACACGCCTCGTTTTCAGACCAACACGCCGATGAATTGCAAAAGCGAGTTATAATGTCAGAATTACGAGATATAAACTAGCAATAGTGACTTATAAAGTCAGACTTTTCAGATTTTGTTTCCTCGCAATTACGAGTTTAAATCTCGCAATTCTGACTTTTTTCCCCTCGCAATTGCCAGTTTATATCCTATGGTATGGAGCGAATTATGTGCCAAAATTAAAGAAACAAATCCAGCATTTTGCAAACAACCTCGATCTGCTTTGCAATGGAAAACTCGACTCGCAAACAAACAGAAAGCAATTTGCAAAAACAAAGGTCAATTTGAGCGAAAATGCAGTGGAGTAACCAATATTGTGTTTTACAAATATAAATAAATGATCCTTGATAATATTTCACAAATAAATACAAACCATCCAACAAATTGCATGTAACCTTTGAACAAACACCAAATCTAGTGCATATCTGTCTGTTATGATTGTAAGATCTCACGGCTCGATTTTCTCACAAATGCGTCCAGGCAGATTTTCTCACAAATGCAGATGAGTAACTTCCTCTTCTAAAACAGTAGATGGTGCTAAAATAGGGGATTAATTTAGCACTAGTCTCCCAGGAGAAGCCCTACAGCTGAGGAAAAAGTTACTGTCTTACTTTATTGTAATAAACACCTTGAGGTTTTCTTTTAGCCTAGAAATATAGACGCACCCTAGCGGCAGCGAAAATTATTTCGCAGCCAGTGTGGTCTAGCAACTCTCCATAGGCTTTTGAGCTGGAAAAACCAAAAACTGGTCGGGCCAATCACATCGTGTATAGAGTCGGCGGGCGGGCTTAACACAATGACGGCACAGTTCATGACGTTCCGCATGATTTCCATAGGTGATTTCCCTGCTACTTGAAAACAATGAAGATGCAGCGGTCTTTCGAATCGGCTTTGGCCGCGACTCTGGAGGACTTGGAGTTAAGAGAACGTCACTTAAGTCATTCTTAAAAAAGGAAGATGTGTTCGGATTTTTGCCGTCCTGATACGGCAAAAGTTTAATATATCAATTAGCTCCGCTGGTGGAAAAACGCATGGGACTCTGTTACGTCCTATGTTATTATTTGTTTGGTGTTGTTGTTTGTTTCCTTTTCCTTTTCTTTCTCCTCTTTACTTTCACTCTTAGCAGGACGATGCGGTTACCTGATTGGTCCATCCATCTGCCAGTCATAGAAACGCTCGGTGATGATGCAACGCGGCTCCACCAATGAGGGCGCACTGCGCCTATAAAGAGTGCACCTGTGTGGGAAGCGGGAGATTCCACTTTGATTTGTGTGAGACGCATATTTGCCCTATACCAATTTAGTGTGTGAGAAATTGTGTTCTTTGAGAACTTAGAAGCCCATTTGGGTCGTCTTTTCTCTTGAGTAGTGTGCCGTTGGTCGGGTTGTGAAACTTGTTATTTAACGGGGCAGAGAAAAGAACAGGTGAGATATCACGTGATATACATGTGCTACACTGAGGGATCAATCGTGTATAGAACACTAGTTTAGCGGCACGTGCCATCTTTTGTATTTTTCGTTTTGCAGTAAGAGCAGTTTATGTAGGGCGTCTCTGACGCTGAAGATTTTTCGTTTTTTTGATTAATTTCAATTTAGTTAGATTATAAATTGTTTTGTTTATAATTAGCCAGACTGGTTTTGGTTTTGTTTCTTTCTTTGATTTGGCACTGTCTAGTTCTTTTCTCTGTACCTCTTTCTTTTGTGAACTTTTGCTTTGTATGATTTGTATCTAAATGGTACACTTATTTAATTAATTATCTAGAGGTATTCTTTACACCTTGCTTCTCATAATAAATCCTCAACATACTTCAATGAGACCGGTTTGTGTGAGATCTTTTTCCAGTACACGTTCAGTATTTTAATGTTGCACGCTTTATTCTCCCTAGACTTAAAAGGGTTTGTAACATTAATGGGGGCTCGTCCGGGATATTTTTAATAATTTTTCCCGATAACGTAAATATTGTTCATGTGCTGGAAACAGAGTAATTGGTACAGGTTATGGAGTTTTTGTATGCGTACTAAGTTTGTGTTTATGTCGTGGATTATAGTATGCTGGATAAGTATAATCGTCATGACTTTGTTTAATTTGCAAACTTTCGTTGAGAACCCATCTGTGGAGCTATTTGAAAGATGTAGGAAGGATGATTTATTATCCGTTGCAGCTCATTTTCAAATTCCGGTAGTGAAACAGGCTCTTAAGAGGGAGATCAAAAATGTTGTGTGGAATCGTCTAGTGGAATTACAGGTATTGGTAGGACCTGTTTCAGAGGCAGAGTTCGCTGGTGCAGAGGGGTTTTCTCCTAATCCTGATATGATGGATCAAGGTAATGTGCAAAGTGAGTTATCTGAACCGGTGCTTGGAACTGAGAGGAGGACAGGTTTATCGCCGTTTGATCCATTTTCACCTGTTTCTTCGGGGTCCAAGGAGGATACGAAGTTAAAAGTGCGTTTAGCTCGTTTACAGATGGAAGCTCAGGACAAAGCTCAAACTCGACAGGCAGAGTTGGATTTGCGTCTTAAAATACGCACCCTTGAGATTGAGTCGGAGAAGCAAGTGAAGATGCGACAATTAGAATTAGAAGCTATGAAAATTGTTGGCGGTACAGCCGTGCCCGTTCCTCCTGAAGTTACGAGAGTTCCTTCTAGAGTCGCAAGTGCTTCTCCGGTTGCAAGTTCAAGTTCGGCAACGAATACATTTGATGTAGGTAAATATATATCGTTAGTACCTCATTTCAGGGAAACCGAGGTCGATTCTTATTTTTGCGCCTTTGAGCGTATCGCGACTTCGCTCGCTTGGCCGAAAGAAGTGTGGACCGAAATTCGTTCCTTCGTCATCGAAAGAAATTCGGGAGTGTTTTTATTGCCATAAGCAAGGTCATTTAATTGCAGACTGTAACATCTTGAAACGAAAACAACAGACAGTTCAGACGAAAAGTGTTGGCTTGGTAAGCGCTGTAGGCATTCCTCGTACCGTATTATCTAATGTGGTACAGGAGGATAATATCCCTGATGTGAGTTATAAACCTTTTGTGACAACCGGGTTTATTTTCTGTATCTGACAATGGAAATGAACAAAAAGAAATCCATATCTTGAGAGATACTGGAGCTAGTCACTCTTTCGTCTTGGCAGATGTATTACCTTTGTCAGCCGAATCATATAGTGGTTCGAGTGTTTTTGTGCGAGGTATAGAAATGGGTGTGGTTAAGGTTCCACTGCATCGGGTGTATCTAAAGAGTGCGCTTGTTACAGGGTTTGTTCAGGTTGGAGTACGTCCTTCGCTTCCGGTGAAAGGAATAACTTTCATTTTAGGGAATGACTTGGCAGGGGGTAAGGTTATGCCTACGCTAGAAGTAGCAGATGCCCCAAATATGCATTCCCCTTCTGACGAGTTATCTCGAGATTATCCGGAGGTTTTTTCGGC